TCCCGCCCCCGTATAATGCTGTTTGTGGTTAAACTCCTCTATCGGTTCAAAACATTTGCAGTAATTCGTACCGAGGCGTGACTGCCTGCTCGGGAGGGCATCTGCTCCGCCGGCCGGACCCCAGCCCGCTCCCCGCCGAAAGCAGCGCGGATCCTCCGCCCGGCGGCCGCGGGAGCCGCTCGGCACCGGCCGCGGGGTGCGGAGGCGGAGGGGGCCGAGCCGGGGAGCGCCCACCTGCGCTCCGTCCCCCTCCCCGCAACGCCCAGGGCCGCGCTTCAGAAGCACAAGAGCCCCGGGGGCTTCACCCCAGACCCCCCAACGCGGGTGTCCGTCCCACGCAGAGCGCAGGTTTTGGCTGCCCCGGCCCCTCCGCGGCCGCGGAGTCGGAGCAGGGGTTTTTCCTGCTGCCTTCCCGGCTCAGCGCAGAGCTCCCGGAGCGGCTCAGCCTCACCGCCTCACCCCCTCCCCGCTACCGCCCCCCCGAGCGGCTCCCCCCACGGCCCGGCCCGGGTCGCGATGGTTCCTCACCGGTGGTCCCGCAGGTGGTCCTGCCTCCGGAAAGCCTTGTGGCAGATGTCGCAGGTGTAGGGCCGCTCGTCCGTGTGGGTCCGCTCGTGGATGAGGAGGTTGTAGGACTTGGTGAAGTGCCTGCCGCAGAACTTGCAGATGAACTCCTTTTTCGTCTTGGAGGGCAGGCGGCCGCGGGAGGGCTTCCTGTCCGGGGACAGCTTGCTGATGCCCGACAGGGGTGAGGCCAGTCCGGGGCTCAGCTTGGCGAGCTCCCCCACCTTGGGGGGGTCCTCCTGCGTGGCGGCCACGGCCAGGTTGGCAAAGTCAAAGCGGGGCCTGTCCTTGTGCAAGGCTGGGAGGACGTGGGCGATGGCCCCTTGCTTGGGGTGGAAGAGGTGCGTGGCGAAGGGGAGCGCGGGGAAGGGGAAGCGGGAGTCCACCAAGCCCTGGGCGGCCGCCATCTCCGTGATGGTGGAGCGGGTGATTTCGTGCACATTGGGGTAGCCCAATGTCCAGTGGTTCATGTGCATGGTTTGCACGGCGCTGAGTCCGTACAGACCTTGCAACTGGTCCACAGCTGCGGGGAAGGTGTTCACAGCCTGGAGGAAGGAGTAGTTGGTGAGTTGCAGGGACGGGTGCAGCGGGATGGGGGCTGGCAGAGCCTTGCTTCCCATCTTCCCGGGGCGGGTGCAGGCCGGCAGTGCGGCTGGTGCCTCTGCTGGGCTTTCGAGATGGGGACAAACTCCTAGGAAGAAAGAGGGAGAAAGGAGGGGAAAGAGACTTTTACTGGGAGCAGCGTGGTTGCCCTTAGCCGAGGCGAGCGCAGCGGCGGAGCCAGGGAGGGCCAGGCACGGCTCCGGTGCGCTGCCTCGTCGCGGCCCCAGCGCCCTGCCGCAGCCCCGGCTCCCGTGCTCCACCGGGGCCGGCGGCCGCCACCGACCCACCGGCGCGATCTCTTCGACCGGAGAAGCTAAAGCGTCAAAAAAATTTTTTACGAACTATCACTCCCAGAAACACCCACCTCGAATTAAAATAAAAAGGAGAAACCCCCGCGCCGAGCCAACCGCAGGCGCCGCAGATTCAGGTTAAACGAATCGTGGAAAAATACACCCGGAACGGAGCCGAGGCCGGGGCCGCTCCGCTCCCCGCCACCGACCCCCGCAGCGCCCAGCCCGGGCCGTGGCCACGGCGGGGA